CCCATTAGTTTCAATTTTATTTACTATTTAAGTTCATCACAAATGTTTAACTGCTAAAGCTAGATGAGCAAAAACTGTTCATTTTGGACCCGGGGTGTTTAGACTAACACATTACGCATTAAAAAGGCAGGAAACCAAAAAGTTTAAACAGCTTCGCAGAAAATATCTGATGGGTCAAAAGAACAAAAGGTTATGTTTAATCTCCTTCAAGTTATCTTTAAGCACTTTTTTGCTTGATTTTGAGCAGCGAATTTATTTGAAGATAATTGACAAACTGTACTTGGAGCCACCTAAAATACTATCGCCAATGTTTCTTTGTTTAATTATTCGGGTGTTTCTCAATCGATTGTCCGTCTTAAACTTTCGTTATAAAGCCCTTTAAATGGACTTTAAGTCACTTTCAGACACTTAGTTACGTCTCAAGTAGGAAGACCAGACAGGAACTTAGGGGCTGCTTTTGAAGATACGTATGCAACAAGCTGCGATGTCTCTTCTCGAGCTGATCGCTCGGTTGTTTTTCCAGTAATTTTCACTAGCGATCGGGCATTTTGAAGCATTTAAAGGCCTTCAAGCGATCTTAAGCACTTTTTGCGTGAATTTGAATTGCGAATTTATTTCAAGGTAATTGACAAACTGTACTTGCAGCCACTTAAAATACTACCGCCATTGTTTCTTTGCTTCATTATTCGAGTGTTTCTCAAGTGATTGTCGGTCTTAAACCTTCATTATAAAGACATTTAAATGGACTTTAAGTTACTTTCAGACACTTTATTAGTTGCGTCTTAAGTAGCAAAACTACAGTGATTTAGAGACTGTTCTTGAAGATACTTAAAGAACAAGCTGCGATGTCTCTTTTCGAGCTGATCAGTCGGTTGTTTTTCCAGTAATTTTTTAGGGAGACGCCCTGGAAGAAGCAGAAGAGTTGATTGTTCTTGAAGAACAATCTGAAAAAAAAATTCCAAAAGGTCGGTGTTCAAATCAGAATTAGTTTTTCTCTCGTTACAAAACCTCTCGCATTCTTAATACCCAGTAAAATTATGGCAAATAAAAACAATAAACTTACTAAGACCTTTCGATCAGTCTATCCGCTTCTCTCCAGCCGCTTTCGACTGCCCCATGAACAGTGGAAAAGTAGCAAGAATGCGTGGCTTCACCTGCAAATAGCACAACTTCCTTTCCATCCACTACAAGAGGTTTGGCCAAGTCTTCCCGAGTGGCTTCACGTGCTTCCATTTCCACCCCGACGTATGAGTAGGTTCCCAAAAAATGCGGGTTTGTGCCCCATTTGGACCTAAGAAACCCATTAACTAGCAAGAAAAATTCCTTAACTTTCCAGTAAATCACACGAACCGTATAATTTCAGATGGCTCGCTGATTTTGTAAATTTCGCCGGCAAATTTCCTCAGTAGAAACAGTGAAGCGTTCATTAAGAGCTCGTCTGAAAGGAGCTCGACTTCTTTTACCATTGATCCTACTAGCCAGCCGAGAAGAATGTTCGGGTCGCTATCAACAGTGTAAAATCCGAAAATGTCTTCCAGCCAAGATCTAGAATCGTTTAGACAATAGGGAACGTGTTTGTAGTTGACGCTGATAAGCAAACCTCTCATTCCTGATGGGTCCAAAAGGAAATTCTTTGGGCAAGGTTTTCTTGTCTTCATCTGTCCAAACGAAGCTAAAGTCCTTGACTTCATCCGGCCACCATTTGTTGGGGAATTTGATGATGATTTTTTGGCAGGTGCCCATTGGAATGGTTTCGAGGCAGTTAATTTTGCACAATGGGAGACTGGGTTTGAATAAGGTCTGGTAGGTTTCTTTCAAAACTCCTATTGAAACTGTTAATATCACATGGTCGGCAGTGAAGCGACTTGAGTCTGCACAGAACAGTTTCACTTTTCCCCTGTCTTTGGAATCCCCAGTTTGGTCCCAAACGATTTTGATGACTTCCTTATTAAGCAACACGTGCTCAGTTAAGAATGATTTTGGATTGTTTTCCTACAAAGTATTTTTTCCTAAAGTCCGCTGTTAAGTCTAAAATAAAATGAATTAAAGACGTACTTACGAGTAAAACGTTGAAGAAACTTGCGAATCCATTGGTCTTCCAATGGACTAGATGGTTTCCTTCGCATTCCCGGTATTTCACCAGGCTATTAACTGATACTTGCGCTAAATCCTCGGCAGGATCCATGCACAAATAGAACTTACTAAACCAGTTCCTGATGAACTCCGCAGCATTTAGCAGCTCTTTATTTTCGTTGCCGAGTTTTGCATTGACTTGTTTAGTGTACCTAAAAAATGTGTTTCCAATTGCTGTTTAAGTGCTTCAAGTTCAGCTGAGTTGGCTTTTAAATGTTCTTTAAATTCTTTTGTAAATATACATAAATTTCGGTTGGTTTCGGAGAATTTTAACTCACTCTAAACGATTCATTGTTTTAAATTGCAGTTTCATTTCACCTGCTACTTTTGTATGTTCCATAGGAAATATTTATGAACAAATCGTCCCTTGCAGGTGAAATCCAACATTTTATTGCAAAATTTCTGATAAAATTTTTTACATTATCTTTCTGTTGTTTAACTATTTCTAACTGGCAGCAATTTTCAATCTAAATGAGTCTAATTTAAAAGTGGAAATCATGTAGTAAAATTATACTCTAATTTTTACCATTTAAAAAATAGGTGGAGACCAGAAAAATAATTTTGCATGTAAAGCAAAATATTCGCTTAAAACGAAGTTAGAACTTTTGCAATTTGCAAAGTGACGGTTTTTTCATAATTGTTACCTAAATAACGTAAATAAACGGAAATGAAAAAATCGTCAAGCTCATCAGAAAAGAAAAATTCGAAACTTTAAAAAATGGTTGTTCAATCTAGTTCCCAAAGCTTTGCTAATGCGATCAAAATAATTGAGAAATGCACTAATTTCCGCTAATAGCACAGGTAACAATCAAGCAAAGAACTTTTAAAATTATGATTTAAGTTGTAGTTTTAGCAACCTGTTTTGTGCTAATTTTTCAGCTGCTCGACAATGAAACGCGAGCGAATTTCTTGTTTCCATCGGCCAAAATTGTAGTTTGTTAAAACCGTTCGCTTACTTTGAATCGAAATATTCTCTTAGGGTTCCTTTATGTTCCGATGCCAAATCAGACTCTTCCAGAATGTTTTCCACAATCTCATAAAGCTGATTAGTCAATTTTGTATCCAACATTGTTCCAGTCGAAGTAAAAAACGACATGTTTGAGTACGTGGAACTTTTCGGGTAATCAGTTAGGTTTAGGTTTTCAACCATTTCGTAGACGACATTTCCTTTTTCCCCGTGAATCTGCAATATTCCAACGTTATCCCGTGCGTGAATTGTTAATTTTGCGAATGGATCTTACCCATTGCGCCCCCAAGTCCACATTAGTGCCTCCAAAATGAACTGAGTGAATTCTTCCGCCAATTCGGTTTTCAGCTTCCAAAATCGTCACATCGAAACCTTTTGCGATCAGTCTTGTAGCACAAGCAATTCCAGAAGCGCCAGCTCCGACGATTATAACTTTTGCCATGGTTTTCCCACAGTGCATTTAAACACTGGAATTGACAATTTTTCATGCTATATAGAAAAAGTGCAATAGAATTAGCTCCAAGACAACATTCTGAAGTCTAGGAACTTGTCAAGTTAAAATCAGTGATTAATCAGAGGCACTTAATTCCGAGTAACCGGGAGTTCAACAAAAGACCTCTTATTTAATAAGGCTTTAAAACACTTAATTAGCTCCTCCTAGGTTTTATGGTTCCACATTAAAAGAATGGCAAAAATCGGGAATAAGAGGCTTCAATATTTTATCTATTTTTACTTTGATTTTGAAAAAATCAGAAAACTGCCGGAATTATAGAGTCAGATTTCCGCTAATGAATAATGAACATTAATAATAATTTTCAGTTTTGCTTCAAATGGAATTAAAATCCTGAGACCCAAACTCTACAGCAGACATTCATTCAGACTCTCGTATTAAAATAATGGCAAAGTTCAAGGAAAGAGCTTTAAATAAAACCAACAATTTTATGATTGATTTTGTTTAAGTTTTTAAACTATTTATTAAGAGCATTCGCCATTACCTGTTTTTTAGTTGGACAGTAGCTTAAAAAAAACTAGTTAATTGCTTTTATAATTTAGAACCCCAAGACCTGTACACGTTGATGTTGATTAATCAAACCGTATTTAAAAGCCCGAAAATTCCAAAAAATTAACACAAGAAATTTTAAGTAAAACGCGTTCCTGTTTCGGTTATAAGGCCTAAAATAATTTCGAAAATTAACCTATAAAACCGGAAAAACGCATTGAATTTTTTATTTGAGCATTTTTTGTTTTTCTCGTCTGTTTAGTTGGGCAAAGGAACTTAAGGCTTCAGTAGATATGCAAATTGCGCCGTGAAACGCTCCAGTACAAGTGCAAGTAGGCTTTCAAATGCAGTTTCATGCGTAAACACTACGAGTTTTAAAAGCACATGCAGTCTTAATTGGTTCGCACGTTACATACATGGATTGCAGAGGGAAAGCGCGGTAGTAAATAATCGAATACGCACCAATTAAACTCAGTTGTAATCCAATCTAGCGATGAAAATCTTGTTTAAACAATTAATAAGCCGAAAATAAAGCAAATTACCTGGCGATCGGCGAGGTGAACCTTTCGGAATTACTTTATCCACACAACTGGGTGAAGTTTTAAGGAAACCAAGGCCTTTGTAGTCTCTTATCCCTAGTAAATATCATTTAGAAAGCATTAAATTAACTACTTTAAAAGAGCCACGGGCTCGAATCTATAAATAGATAGACCACGTTTTGAATCAGTTATCTGAACTGCTTGTATTATCTCAACACATTGGAGAAGGTTGCCAGAACTGTTTCTTTCCTCTGCTTTCTACTTAGTTACGGAATTGAGTCAGCCCTCCACAGCACAACCACGATAAATGTTCGAATCAGCTTTGGTTTTTTTTAGGAAAAGGGAAAAAAATACTTGAAACTTGTATTTTCAAAGCTGTTTAATTAGAAATAGGTTAATCAAGTCCTAGCGAGTTAATGAATTAAAAGAATTAACGTGTAAAATTACATTGGACCTGCTGCTTGAAAAAAAAAATGCAGCAATTCCAATCTAAATAGAAAGGCGAAACTAAGATTCATCATCGCTGCCTTGGGGCCCGCGCGCTTTCGGCCCTCCTGCCCGCTTAGCCATGATGATTTGGTCCACCCGCAGAATGGTAGAGGCTGCATCCACTGCATACTTAAGACCCCAGAATTTCGCTTGGTAGAGATCGAAAATTTGCTTTTCTACCACATCTACCAGCGAATTTTCCGCTGTGATGTCAACACCGACATTTTTCTGTCCATTCTGAAACAACATTAAAAAACCTTAGACACAGCCCTAAAAAGAAGTACTGTAGCTACGATTTTGAAAAAAAAGTTTACCAGGTGAGCGTCAAGGATTTTCTCCAGAATCACTTGAGACCTCAAGCCGCTATTATCAGCCAAAGCCTTGGGGAAAGCCTCCAAAGCAGTGGCGAACTTTCGAATGGCATACTGCTCCAAACCAGGAAGCGTGTCTGCAAACTCGAGAAGTCGAACAGCCAGTTCGGCTTCGGTGGCGCCTGCACCAGGAACAAATCGTGGATCTCTTGAAAGCCCCTAAAAAAATTAAAGACGAGTTGGTGAAAAATGATTCAACCTCCGCATAGGCTAACTGACGTACCTTGAACGTATTGACTCCATCATCGATTGCTCGCTCGATATCGTCCATGTAATTATCACTGGCTCCTCTAATCAGTATGGTTGATATTCTAGACTCTTTTCCCTTTTGTCTGAATGCCACAATCGGGGTGTCTCCCAATTCTTCTACGCAGACCAAATCGCAATAGCCCAATTCCTGAGGGGATGGGGTGGACAGTTTGGGCAGCACAGTGCCATTTACAGTTTTGCTCAACTGTCTCAAATCGCATTGCGAATTGAACTTGACGGCCATCATGTTGTATTTGTGTACGTAGTGCAGAGCCATATCGCCAAATTTGTCGCCAGCCACAATGACTTTGGTTCCCGCATCGGCAATTGACTTAATTTGCAACTCCAACAGATTCTCCTCGCCCCGGCTGAAGTTCATCAATTCATCCGCAGTTTTGATCAACACCGTACCTGAAAAAGCTCACATTTAAAAAACAAGCTTTGCAATTCCAAGTTGTTTTACCTTTAGTTTCAGTTTGCAGGATATCAACTGGGCAACTGTAAATTGCTATCTTGGCATCTTCAGCTTGCGTGATTTCGCCCTCAACGTGCCCCTTAATAACCATCCCTTGCACGACCTGCAATCAAGTTCCTTGAAATCAGCAAACTTTCTCTATTGGAAACTTATTCATATACATATACCTGAGAACTTAAAAGTCCAGATCCCAAAATCTTGCAAACTCGCATATTATCCACGTTAAAGCTGGTTTGCTCAGGCAATATTGAGATGCACGCTCTAGCGACTAAGTCGGCGAGAAAATCCTCATTTCCATACTGTTTCGATTCGATCGAAGTCTTAATAGCTTGCGTCACTTCTTTTACATCGCGGTTGTCTTTAACAGTGTAGCAAACCAAAGATTTCAATATTTCCAAAGCTCTTTCAAGACCTTTCTCGAAACCTTCCGCTATTTCAGTCGGAGTTACACCTAGACGAATCAGTTCTTCTGAAGCATCTGCAATAAATCAAACCAAATTAGTTTCTTCTTGAAGATTCAGAAAAAAATTAATAGTTTTAATTTAATTAATGTCCATCATTGCACAAGAAACGAATTTGATGATGAAAACTGGATTGAAAGATTGCAAGGAAAATTAGACTAGAAGAGCGAACTAAACCCTGTCTGTTATTGGAACTCTACTTACATACTTAATAAATATTGAAATGGTTATAAGCAGTTCGGAAATTTATTAAGGTTTAGGAGAAAAAAAATGGTTTATCCACTAATTAGGATAATAATGAAGCTTGCATCAGTGCTGTGTAAAGCTTTATTATTTCTAGATGCAAAGTGCCTTCCAATTGATCTTATTTCTTCAAGTACTTATGCATAAATCTTGCTTTATTTCTTCTATATTAAATTATTAACGACTAGTTGGTGGATGGGCCTTACCTAGTAAAGCGCCTGCCAAAATAATGACAAAATTGGTCCCATCTCCAACTTCCGAGTCCTGCATTTGACTAGCTAAAATCATCAGTCTAGCAGCTGGGTGCTCAACATCCAGTTCCCGAATAATCGTTGCCGCATCACTAGTCACAAACTGCTTTTCGATATGATTAATAACCATTTTATTCATCCCATTGGGTCCATAGGCTGACCGAACCGATTGGGCAAACTCTTTGCAAGCCTTAATGTTACGAACAACTGCTTCTTCCAAGCCGGAAAAGTACTGCAATCAATAGTAATATCGAATTAATTTAATCTGCAAGGAACATGCAACTTTTATGGTGCACACCCACAAATAACCAAGCAAAAACACATGTGACTTCGAACGCAAATTGAGAAAAATGTAACT